AACGACATGAAACGCATGACATGTATTTGGAAGCGTCGCGTCCTGGTTCGGCAATCTGGCAACATATAATCCACCACTACTTAAAAACTGACAGAACCGCACGATACAACTGATACTCTGACAATGCGCTGAAGCGTAGCTACCGCGGTATACAATATCACACAGCGCTGTGTCGAGGTGCAGACACTACGTCACAAGATCCCAGATGTATCAAATATTAAAATAAACTATGGATGGAGTTTCCCTTTAAAGCTGCAGTTTCCCCCGTTAGATTTGTGCACGTTTTTTCAAGTCAAAACTTGTTGCACTCATACATCTCAGTGACCTTGTCTTGGGAGCATATGTAACCCATCAACCCTCAGGGCTGTCAAAATAAAATCGTCACCTTGACGTCATCAGGGGTCACGTGACATGAGATAAAAGTTGCAATTTCCTCCATAGGTTGTATACACGTTTTTCCTCTACGCAATATTATTATGAGGATTGAGATAAGCTAAGAAGATAAATCAGATTAATGTTTCCCTTTTATTCGACTGCAAAGATATTCAGGAGTCATAATATCAAGCTACATTTCATAGACATTTTTTAATTCAAATGCATATTAAGTGGCATCAATTGAAAGGTGAAGTTTTTTCCCCCGAGGGTTTTGAGCAAGCTTTTTGAAGAATTCCCAACCCACATTATTTTTGTAGATACCCGTCACACAAGCCATTGCCGAAGCAGCTGGTGTTTGTCCACAAACACAGGTCTAGTTGGCTTTAAAGGGTAGGGCTTTAGACGAACATTGACTTGATTTGGTGATGACGTCATTATATCACAAGTCACGTGACATTAAAGATGCACGCTTCAAAGAACTATATCTCGCGAAGCATATGTCCGATTGGCTTCAAACCTTGCAGATCTCTTGTGAGAATGACGTTACCAAGTGACAAGTAACGTGACATTAAAGGTGCACTCTTTAGAGTACTATATGTCACCTGAAATACGTCTAATCGGGTTCAAACCTTGCTAATAGTTTTGAAAGGGAACTGGTTTAGACTAATATTGACCTGATGTGAGGATGACGTCATCAGGGAGTAATTCACGTGATATTAAAGATGCAATGTTTAAAACACTATATTTCTTTAGTTGCATGTCCTGTTGTGTTCAATCTTTGTTGATACCTTGAAAGGGAAGTGACTTGAGTGAATATTGACCTCGTGTGAAGATGACATCATCAAGACTTAGTGAGAAATCAGGTGACTTTAAAGGTACATTCTAAATCCCAATATCCTGTGATGTTCATGTCTAGTTAGGTTAAAATTTGGTAGATGGTGCACACCTTATTCTCCATATCTGTATCTCCTCATGTCCGGAAAGGTTTGCAAATTTCGTCATTATGACGTCACCAAAGAAAATATTAGAATAATTTTTGGTAAATATTTGTAGCTCTGGTGTAGTTCTTTAAGCAAGGGGCGAGAAATGGAAATGTGGAAGTATCTCAATTGAACCTTTTTTCCTCCAAAAAAAAACAAGGAAATGCAAAGGAGCCCTTTGCTCTGTCCCTAAAAAGACAGAACCTCTAGTTTTCTTTATTTTCTTCTTCTATCCCCAAATACCCTTTGCTTTTTATACATTTCTTCTACCACCGACTTTACACTCCCTTAGCAAATTTGGATCTTCATCACATTACATAAATGAATTAACCTAGTGTATAGATGTGTCTAAGAAAAGGCTGTCATGAACACGTCGTCAAGTGATTTCTTATTGATTTTTGAATATTTATTTTAGCACATTGACTTTGTACAATTTTTCATTGGACTTTTTAGGTAATTTGGCGATCTTCAATTGTCATCAAAGACACAGCCAACAAAGACCCTGATACAAATTATGTTCAAATTTGTGACGTCACCATGATTTTTAAAATTGATTTTTGAATATTTAAGTTTTTCCCATAGGTTTTTATGTACACGTTTTTCAGCAGCCAGACTTTGGGACTCTGCTCAATCCAATTCCTTTCCTATTGGTGTACACTCGTAGTCCCTCACGTAGAGAGGGTCCAAGAATAAATAAAACTTTCCTAATGACGTCATTAGGTGTCACTTGACATGGCAATAAAGGTGCAAATCTCAAAGCCTCATATTTTGTGGAGCCTCATATTTTGTGAAAGGGGTGAGCTTTGAAAGAACATTGACCTGATATGATGACTTCATCATGATTAATCACATGATATGAAAGATAATTCTTTAAAGTTCTCTATCTCTTTAACTACTGTCTGACCAGGTTTAAATTTAGTAAATAGCTAGAATGGGAATATTAAAGACAAGGCGTCATTATGTCATGGATGTGAACTGTAATCCGTTATATCTCCTTTTGTCCGAAAGGCCTCAAATATTTAGCCACCAAAAATATTATTAGAAACGTTTGGAATTATTAGTAGCTTTTGGATAGATGTTTGAGTAACAAGTGAGAAATCCAATTGTGGTAGTATCTCAAATGACCTTCCTTATGAAAAAGGCAATGCAAAAAAATCCCTTTGCTCTGTCCTTGAGACAGACAAAACCTCTAGTTTTTGTTTACATTTTAGCTCATATTTCAGACTATTTTATTTTCATTTCATTTATTACGTCATCACGTTAAAAAATGAAAAATTGTTTCCCATGTGCATTAAACATAAAAGGTGTACATATAGTTCAATAGCATTAAAAAGGATTTTCATTACAACGAATACAAAACGACATTTATAAAAAACACAGATTAAACAGATAAAACTGGGTTTTTTACAAAGGATTTGTACACGTTTTCTTCCACTTGCCCGCTTTGGTAATTTAAACTTTATTTTAAGGGCATAGTCTGTCAGCCACAAAGGGTGTCGAAAAAATCGTCATTGTGACGTCACTAGGTGTCACGTGACATGACATCAAAGTTGCAACTTCAAGTTTCCATATCTTCTGGACTACATGTCCGATTTGGTTGAAATCTTAGAGGTATCTATGAAAGGGTAGTGTTCCAGACATAAATTGACACCATGTGACTATGACGTCATCATGTGCTAAGCCAAAGGACAGTAAAGGTTCACTCGTCAAAGCACTGTATCTCCAGAAATGCATGTCCAATTGGGTTGAAACCTTTAAGATATCTTGCAGGGGAAGACATTTAGGCGAATATTTACTTTACGATGATGACGTCATCAGGTGACAAGTTACGTGACATTAAAGGGACCCTCTTCAAAGCACTATATCACCCGAAGTGTATGCGCAACTGAGTTTCATAAACCTTGCTGTTATCTTGAAAGGAAAGTGTTATAGACAAAATCTGACCTGGTGTGATGATGACGTCAAAAATCCGTAAAAGCCCTTTGTTCTGTCCGTAAGACCAACAAAATCTCTAGTTTTCTGTGTTGTAGGGAAATCATGCAGAAGACTGTTAATCCTTTGCAAACCACATGTGCATGTAATGTGTTTTCGTTTTCCTAGCTCAAGCAAGCTTTGGGACTTGATATATTTCTGGCGATCGATAAACCATGCTGCCGACATTTACATGGCAGATATTTTTCATACGTTCATTTATAATGCCTTTTATATTGACACGTTTTGTTCGGATTTATATTAATGGCAAGTGATTATAATTTTCGTTTGTGTTATTTTTAAATGTTTATTTATATTTCTTGCTTTTATTCGTAATTTCTGTTTTTCCTTCCCCCCCCCATGGTTTCCCTACGGGTAGTGGTGTAGGTATATGCAATATTTTATGGGAATCACTCTTACTGAAGTACCAAATTGCTACGGCGGAAGGATTACTGAAATTTCCCAGTTATTGTTCAAAAATATACTATTTTTATCATCATGTTGCTCTTCCGTGGGATTTTCTTTTCAAATCAGGTTTAAAGACGTGAAGCATGTCTCTATTAATCCTATGAACACCAACTTGTGCACTTTGGACAAGCTCTTCAAGCCGAAAAATCTAGTTTTCTGACGCGAGTCAAGCATGTGCATCATTTTTATATCTCTTCAAGAGCTACAACTGCGCTTTTACGGACATACTGCCTCGACATTTTTAACCAGGGCGATAGATCTGTACGAAATCAATGTTGAACAATGATAGCAGACTATGGATGCATAGTTGTTTGTTTTCAGCCTCTAATTATAATAGCTTGTCTGGTCCCATGACTCGACAACGTGTGTCTGGTGTAGGAAAAAATCCGCCATCTCCATGGGGGACAATGACATCACACAAGACTGCAGTGGCAGGAACCAGTTTTTGCATGAATATAATAACCGACAAAACTGGAATCCGAACACTTGGTCAATGACAGATCTCTTTTCACCACAATACATAAACCAGCATCGGTTATCTGTGCAAAGTGTTCCATTGGGAGACTGTAGCCAAATTCTACCTGATTCTGCATCTGACAATGGCAAGGTCCCTTGTGTTCTTTTTTGCATTACTTGTGTTCTTAACGATCTCACTCCTAATTTACCAATTCCTACTCACAAAATGTCAAAGTTGTCATGTAAGTGTTCCCTTTCCAACGAGTCCGGCTATTTTCCGAAATAGTTCTCTGTTCTCCACTAAAGACCATACCCTGACGCTCACCCTCCGCATGGCTGCCGTGCCCAAACTGACTCAGCGTCTGTACTGTGACTTCTTACGATCTGCCGTGCTGTTCTGGTCACCGAAGCTTGGGCACATCAGCCTGATACTTGACATGGAATCGGAAGCCGATCATCAGTTCGCAGTTCGACTGAGACAGCAAGAGCCTGCATTTGGCCTCAAGTTTGATTTCATTTACGAGCCTCTCCCAAAAGATACCTCGATCTTGAAATTAGAGAAAGATCGAGGGTACAGCCGCCAACTATGGAGCAGTTTCTTCATGGATCTGTTCATCAAAGCACCCATTATTGCTTGGATTGACACGGACGGAATGTTTACGACGCCCGTCACCAATGAAAATATCTTCAACGACCATCGATTACGAGTGGTAACATATACTGACTGGAACATTCCCCGTAGACATGGCTGGGACAAAACAACGAAATGTGCAATGGGTAAGAATCTGGTGGCAGATTTCATGACATATTTCCCGGTGTATATCTGGACAGACACCATACGGAATTGCAGGAAACACATCCTTAGACATATGAAAGTAAGTAAAACATAAAAAACCTTTTTTAATATTTGAAAACATTTCCATATTTTCCCGATATCTTTGCGTTCCTTTTTTGCCACATACTAAAAGCTCAGCTATCATGCCAAACGGAATTGTTGACGAGTACAAAAACCAAAGAAGCTTCCTGGTTTCCCGAAATTAGTTTCAGATTTTGTGAACCATTTTCCTGACAAATTCAACTTTAATGAAATGGACATTGATATCATTTATAATTTTGAGATATCGTTTCTGAAAAAGTTTCACTATATCTATTTTCAACGCTTTTTTCTTCCGGACTATGTTTTCAACTTACACCCCGAGAGAAATTGCTCGCTCCATAATTTGAATCACATGCTCTTGAGATTGTGTTTGTTTCAACTTTAGTAGCATATCTGTGATCACCTTGGGTAATTTGTTGCGCCTGTAAGACTTACGCTTGAAATCTATTTTTCAGGTATCCAACTTTGAGGATGCCTTCAGAAAACTGAAGCTGAAACGGGCACGGGTCAGCCCCGTCAACATTTTGTTGAATTACGCTTACTACTATGAACATGATCGTTATGATTGGCATCTGGATGTCAACAACGACTTGGAAGCCTACAACTCCAAACACCTTCAACCCGGTTTCGAAATCAAACCCAATGATACCGTTCCAGATGTTCGTGTCACGGTGCACGCAGGAAGGCACTTCTTAAAAACTCCTAATCCGTTGCTGCAGGGATATTGTACTGTCAAGCGGTACATTGGAACACCGCCTGCTTTCTGCAGAGAGTTTGAAAATGTCACAAACTTTCAACTCTTCGAATTTCTGGCGGAAAGAGGCGTCTCTTTCAACCACCTTGCAACTTGGTGCTCGCCTAATAATGGTGGGCGCGAAGACTGCAGCCGACGGATTGAAGCACATTATAAGAATGTTCGCAAATATTACACTTTGGGATGGTACGATCTAGATTTGCATCGGGTATTAGCTGTTGAGAAAGAAGCAGCAATGGAGAACATAACCTGTCCCAAACTATTTGACTTTAAATGATGGAGCGCGAATGTCGCTGTTAATGTATTGTCTGATTCTTTAAGCAAAAAAGCCGCCACGTAGCCAATTAGGGGATCTCTCTAACTCCTGAAAATTTATGTGAACATTTCCCGTGAAAATGGATGGGACAAAACAATGAAATGTGCAATCGGTAAGAATCTGGTGGCAGATTTCATAACGTATTTCCCTGTGTATATCTGGAGAGACACCATACGGAACTTATCTATACCTTAATTATACTCTGCTAGTTTTTCTGATGATTGATTGTTGGATTACTAATAAAGGTCATTTTTTTGTTTACTAAGAATATGTTTAGAGTTCTTTTATGAAATATTTTCTTCTTGAAATATTCTCTCACGAAACGATCCTTTTCAGAAACAAGTAGTATTTTACTTGCTTAAAAGTATGAAGAATTTGCATTGAAAGACTTAGGATTAAAGAATTGTGCAGTGAATTAGTCAATATACCCATACTTTATACTTTTGTATATGTGTTGCAGCACACACGTGTCAAAATAGGAAAATACCCTCGGTAATAAAACAGCATACTAACATCTCCCCCAAATTAGCAAGCTTTCACAAACCAACAACAAAACCGAAGAAATGAAATTGCTAACCTGATGGATATTCAGAATGAAACTCTCTCTCTTGAATATTAACGTGAACGCCCAAAATCTATACATAAAACATGGCCATTATCTTAGCGATAATGAAGAAAGGGCTGTTTTGCGCAGTTAGAAACAAAAACTGATTCTTGGCCATGCCTGAGGCCAAAAACGTAGATGCACATTTTGCAGTGTTTGCATGAAGAGAAAAGACAATTTTATCAGACGCTAACTACATTTTGAAATGTAAAATAAAGGGCTCGGTTGGCATCATAGTGTGTCACACGGCAACACATGTAAACAAAACAAAGTAAACATGCCCTGAGGTGATATTTAATCTCCCACATGCGCAATCCTCATGCAGAGTACACAAACCTGTTGCTATGCAGTTGAGTCATCAAAATTACGGCGCAAGGCTAGCCAGACTGGCTTTTTACTAGTCCGCCAGTATTTTCACTAGTCCACGGTCCACGTCTTCCCAAAATATTCAACATTTTTTTGGTACTAGTGATTTCTGCTCCAACATCATGCATAATAGTGTGCACTCGGTGCTGACTGTTGTTTAATTGTTGATTGGGGTAAATCACAAATGACCATGGGAATTATGAATTTCCAGAAAAATCATGATTATAACTCTACTTAAGCAAATTAAACACATAAAGTGGTTACCTGCTGAAAATTGTTTGTTTTATTCACAATCCAAGAGACAGAAAAAAACCATATCATTATGAAAAGTTTATATACATGTATATGTACTGTACATGTATGTTTTATGCAGAATGCACACGTACACGCATATATGTAAAGTACATGTAAGCCCGGCGAAATGTACAGTACATAAAGCATGGATGTATATAAAAAACCCTGGACTTGCAACGCCTTTGTATGAAGTAGAAGCCAACCAGCGGCCATTTTACCGAGACCAATACAAATGTGCGGGTTGACTCGCTTCTATTGACGCCAGGGAGAACAAAGGCGGGCATTGCCGGGCAAGCTTTGTATCCGCTAGTGGATTCAATAGAGGGATCCCAATACGACGCTTTAGCGTCGATGTGTGCACTTCCGCGTTTGAAAACGAGGCTGTATGTGTCAACTTCAATTCTTAATACGATCAGACGATTGAAAGTAAGGAGTCAAGACACAAAACACATAAAGGTATGTTAAATTCAGACTTTTCAAGCTGCAAATTTTTGTGGAAAGGTCTTTCAGGATGACTCGACACGTGAAATCAAAAGAGAAAATTACGACAATTGAACGCGAACTAACGTACCTGCGATGGTCGTGTATCTTGTGCAGTGGGCGTGGCTTAAACTGAAGTGGCGTCACACTTACGAACCGGATACTGCATGTACTGTGTGGACTCCGCGGGCGCACGCGAGGAAGTTCAACACAGAGAGCCTCGGTGTCGATGCAGGTATGCGTAGACGGCGCTAATGTGAAAGCCCTCTATGGTCTGTATAAGCTGATTAAGAGCATTGTGAGTCCAGATAGTTTTATATACGTCCGTGACATACAGTACATGTTCGTTCTCGACTGTGTCCAGTAACCGTGGGGTGCATTCCACCAAATGGTTGTATTTTTGCATGTGAGCTCATTATTATTTAGTGATCCCACGGTTTTTTTTACAATAAGACATTCCATAATCAGGAGAGATCATAGAAATATTTTAATAAATCCCAAATTTGGGACTGATAATTTCCAGTTCGGGGTATTTCTTTCAAAAGCCACTGTGGCGGGCGGCTACATTCAGAGCTGAGCGCGAACTTTTACTACTATTTTGGAGGTATCCTCTGGGAAAGGCGAATAAAAAAAAACCAACGACGGCTTTCGCTAGACCGCCGCGGTTTTAACTCGAATTTGGGTTGCAGACCAGTGTTAAGGTCGAACCCTGCTAGTAGTAGGGGAAAGCAAACCAGGTCCACAGGCAAGTGCATGTTCACAGGTACATGCAGTGGGACATTATCAACACAGGGGTCTATTGAAATGATGCTCAAGTGTTGCCTTGATGCCCAACCATAGACAAGTTGTCCCTTCAAGACTGTAGTTCTTGCTTACTGTTTATTCTGAAAATGGCAGAAAATGTGCGACATTTGGAATGGTGCAATTCTATGACATTTAACTTGGGTACCGTTCTCTATGAAAGGACTCTTACATAGCCCCAACACATGCTTAACAATTTACTTACCAACTGGTTGTCAATAAAGGATGTCATTGTGTCCTTGGGAACGTTTATCGTCCACCAGGTTCATCTTATGATCTGTTATTTAAAAAATGCACTTTCAGTACGTTTTGGAGTCTAATTTGGTAAAATGTTTTGTTCATGAGAAAAAATAATTTGGCTGTGATTGCTTGATAAGGCAGTAAGACAGGCCATTTACACCCCCTTCAACCTCATTTAAGAACTTGTAGCACATCGTCTTTTGAAGACTCTTGCAAATTCACATCATCTCAAGAAAAAGCACTTTAGAATTCACTCATATGTTTTTTCCACCTGGCCACAAACTTCAATATCAATCCAACCTTGGGAATAAGGCTACGGATATCATCTTCTCTAAGAAGTTTCATCGCCTCCATGTCAATGGCATTATCTGCATGTGTCACTTGATACGATAGCTAAACAAAACAAAAAATGACTAAGAATTCATAAAAGAACTGTACCTTTGAAAGTTTACTGAGATTCCTATCGGTCGAGAGCCTTTTACATGGCCACATTCAAACGGAAAAAGGACCTACTAGAAACCTACTATAAACTGTCTTCGTTAGACTCTCCGAGTAAAAGTACGGTATTATGAGCATGTTAGTTTATGACAAGCAACACATATTGATTTGATTTGATTTGATTTGATTTGATTTGATTTGATTCGATTCGATTCGATTCGATTCGATTCATTTCATTTCATTTCATTTCATTACATTTCATTTCATTTCATTTCATTTCATTTCATTTCATTTCATTTCATTTCATTTCATTTCATTTCATTTCATTTCATTTCATTTCATTTCATTTCATTTCATTTCATTTCATTTCATTTCATTTCATTTCATTTTATTTTATTTTATTTTATTCTATTTTATTTTATTTTATTTTATTTTATTTTATTTTATTTTATTTTATTTTATTTTATTTTATTTTATTTTATTTTATTTTATTTTATTTTATTATTTTATTTTATTTTATTTTATTTTATTTTATTTTATTTTATTTTATTTTATTTTATTTTATTTTATATTATTTTATTTTATTTTATTTTATTCCCGGCCTAATTAATTTTTTATCAGAAAGATTCCCAACACATTTTTCAACTTCATGGGTACAATGGGGTTTGCACATCTTTCAATCTACGTACATGTACTACATTGGAATACAACTAAGGCCTACATCATGTTTATAATTATACCGGTATGTACATAATATACATGTCGGCCTACATACGACACCAACTCAAAACTTGTGTAGTTTTACCATAAACTGTTTATATTTTTAGCCTTTTTTAAAGAACTGCCTTGCTCAGATAATGAGTAAGTTATAAGCCTTCTCTTTCAGAAGTCTCAACTTGATCCAAGATTCTCCCTTTTAACCGGAAGAATGAGGTTTTAAGAAAAAAACGAAATAACATTTCTAACTCTATAATTAAAACAGATGTCAAACCAAGAATCCAATATCAATTACCACTTTTGCAAACACAAAACTGAGTCTCTCGACGTGATAGATGCTTGTAATTCTGAACATTGTTTAAATTCTATTCATATCAACCGATGTATCGATTGTTTTACCATATTAAACTGTTTATATTTTACACCTTTTTTTAAAGAACTACCTTGCTCAGATAATGAGTAAGTTATAAGCCTTCTCTTTCAGAAGTCTCAACTTGATCCAAGATTCTCCCTTTTAACCGGAAGAATGAGGTTTTAAGAATAAAAATGAAATAACATTTTCTAACTCTATAATTAAAACAGCTGTCAAACCAAGAATCCAACATCAATTACCACTTTGCAAACACACAACTGAGTCTTTCGACGTGATAGATGCTTGTAATTCTGAACAGTGTTTAAATTCTATTCATATCAACCGATGTATCGATTGTGTAAATTGCACCAATTGTTACTGTGGCACCGACTGTCGAGATTGCAGAAACTGTGAAAATTGTGTAAGCTGTACCGATTGTAAACAATGCGACAATTGTAAAAATTGTCAGCGTTGCAAAGACTGTGAAACCTGCAATGAATGTCCAGATTGTGCCAACTATTGTACGAACTGCATCGAATGCGAAAGGTGTATACATTGTGATCAATGTGATGACTGTAAAACCTGCGACCAGTGCGAAAATTCACGCGATTGCGACAGCTGCGCCAATTGTAAACAATGTACCGGTTGCAATGACCCAGGAAGAACCGGAAACCACAGCGCCTAGTTTACCACCCACGACCCCTCAAAGAAAAACCATTAGACGGTCACAATGAAGAGAAATTATCTTTAACCGTAGGAGCTATTGCTAAAAAATTCATTTCTCCATTTCGAGAAAGGGAATCATTTTGTTTTGCCCACTTACATCTTCTGCACGTAAGTGCAAATCAAAACGCCTAAATCCATAAATAAAGTCCAAACGTTACTGGCAATCCAACCGACTGCCTTACTCGCCGCGTTAAATATCCAATTCAATACGCAGTCAATGACTCCGGGTAAAGCCCCAAGCGCTTTCAAGCCCAGTTTTTTTTAAATGTTTGTCAAATTTTGTAGACACC